TGATAAGCCATGCGAGAACATGACATTAAGTTGGTTGGGTAGGTCTCGTAGTATATGAACCATTAACAGGTAGGCATTGATTTTTCCCTCAGAATCCTCTTTCCCAGAAAATTTGTTTATGAATTGTGGCATACTAGTGGTAGATCTTCTAGATGTCCTAGAGTTTCTTGTACATAGGATTTAGGAGCTGAGAAATCTTTTATTCTCATCATCTCTAAAGAGTTTCGGACACGTCTCATTTTGGCGAATTGGGCTATTAGTATAACAGTGACCTGACTTGATTATATGGCTTATTGGACTTGGATTTGCGGTGTGTGGCTTGTATAGACTGACTATTGGGCCTATGTAGCAGGTTGCCCCAAGGATTGAGTCTGGAGAATGTATTGAACTTGGTGTATCGGTTGTCGTCCTATAGACTCACCCAAGTTGAATTGAGCCAGAGCTGACTCATCGCTTGGAGTTTGGACCACGCAACAAGGTCTGTAGGATAGGATCACCACTTGACTAGGATGGACGACTCAAACTGCTATGATGATTAGACCTTCGACCTTGGGCAGTGAGGTCTGCCTGTCCTTGACCTTGACTGGATGATTTAACCCTATAGTTAGGATATTCTCTTGCTCCATCACTAGATCAGAAGAGTGGAGTCCATAGCTATTGCCAAATTGAGTCTGCCCCCGAGGTAGTCCTGGACTCAAATGATGACTTGAGTTAGACCCTTGGCCCTTAGTTGGTTGGATTGGTAGGCTAGCAACTCTAGAATTATCCTTGTTTGAGACGACAGATTGGACATTGCCTATAGCTTGAGCTTCTGACCTAACCAACCTGGATTGACTACGTTGGATGGTGTACCCTCGGTTCAGCAAGCTTTGAAAGAATGTATGCACCTTGGGCTACTTGGATAGACTTTCCCTAGCTGTGGGTGAACCCATTTGCCTCTTACCTAGCTGATTGCTAAGACTAGAATGCTAGGTTGTTAATTGAATATCGGGGCCGACTGAGATTGGCTGACTCAAAGACCTAGGTTGGGGCCTTACTTTTGGTGTGCCGACTGAATTTGAGGCTAACCCGCATGTCTTCAAGGATTGCCCCTAGTCCTTTGTTCACAAAATCGCTCGATCTAACCGCTAACGCTCAGTTAGATCTGGCTGGTTTCGGTTTTGGGCTGTTAGAGTGATCAATCGATATTTAAAAAAAATTCAAAAAACTGTATAGAAACTCTCAAAATAAGGAATTTGATTTGTAATACATTTTTAAATATTCTTTACATTACGGTAAAGATTAAAATTTGTTTTAGTCATTAATACTCACTTTTATATTTTTCTCATCTTTTTTAGAAAATTTTAAAAATAGCTCTTGGAAAAAATGGGTTAAAATCCAATTTTTTCATTAATTTTCAACTTCATTTGAATGTGTTTTATTTTAATCATTCTTTATATGCTTTTCATATTTTAGTATATTTTTTTTTATATTTTTTCAATATTTTTTTGACCTACCAAGCCTTGCTCGATTAGAGCGGTTGAATCGGCCAATTTACTGGTTAGGCAGGTTAAACCTCTTCCAGGACCATGTTCGGTTAACCATTCCAGTTCGATTTTGCAAACACTGCCCTGCCTAACCCCTTGATTGTTCAGGGTGTTATAGACCTTATTAACCTACTGGCTCGTGGTTTCCAAATGATGGCCCTGAGGGCAGCTTGACTAGCTAGGTCTGGTTCCATGTGGATCGAGACGACTCACTTACATGAGTGTTATGGATTTGTGAGGGAGCACTGCGATAGTGCCTCTCAGACTGACTAGGTTCTTTGGATCTAGACTGAGCTAGAGTCGTAGGATTGGACCTTGCTCTGCTTTGATCTAAGTCCTTGACTCCAAGACTTGTGCTAGACTAAAAAGGTTGGACCTAGCTTGGAGATGGACATAGGCTAGACTTGAGCCTCAATAGACCTAGTTGGACTAAGACTCAGACCTGGCTAGACCTAGACTAAATATAGGTTAAACTAAGGCCTAGACCAAGGGTGAGCCTCGTTTGGACTTATGAACATACTTGAAGTTGAAACCTAGTTTGGACCTGATGCAAGAGTCGGGCTTAACTGGACACGAACCTTGTCCTAGACCTAGAAAGGCCTGGGTCTTGACTTGATGTACTTAAGTTTGAAAGCTAAACTAAGGTGAACCTAGTTTAAGTCTAGTGACAACTCTGAATCTAGACCTAAGCTAAGACCATATTGGATGGATCTTGCTAGACTCGATGGGTTTCGGTTTGAACCCTAAGCTAAAACAAACCTAGTCTAGTTCTAGAGGCAACTTTATACTTAGACCTAGACTGAGATCTAGACTAGATGACTTTTGGCTTGTTGAAACTAGAGTTTTGTTGATCTAGGCTAAAAGTTGGTTTCAAAGGGCTAGGGCTTCAAGGTTGCTTCTCTAGATCTAGGGTTGTTCTATGGCTTTCTCTAGTTTCTTAACTCACACGTTTTCGCTCTTTCCTTTCTTTTTCCTCTCTCTCTCATTCCTGGGCATACATGTCTAACCCTAACCCTAACTCTCTGATTTCCGACGTACACCCCCCCCCCCCACCCCAAACGATACATGTTAGTGTTTTTGTTATAGATACAAAAGAGGTGTCAAATATATAACTACTAAAAACATGAGTGTATAATGGATAGCTATTAAAAACTACAAGATTTGCCAGTATACTGGATCACAGGATGGAGAACTATGGACTCTGGTGATTTATGGTTTAGGAGTCTACCGAAATAGTGTGGTCCTAAGGGTTCAAAAAAACCATGAAATTTAACAGTTTCAAAATGGGGTGTCTACATTGACATATTCACTCTTGAAATGAACTTTGAAGAACTGGTAGAGATTCCTCGTCCTTGTAATTCATGTGCAACATCCTTTCGCAAATTGATCGAGTGGGGAGGACGAGTGTGTCGGGTTCTTATTCCAGAGCACGACATAGGGAGATATGAAGGCTTGGGAAGGAAGAGAGGAAGTGGGAGAAATTTATTGATATACACCTTGGAAAAAGATTCCAAAATTCCAGGCGATGAGTTGAAGATGGGGAGATTCTTTGTATTTTTAGCCATCAACACTCTATGTTCATTGTTTGAGCCATGAATGCAAGCATGAAGCTTGTTGTTTATGTCATCAACAACAAGAGATGTGAATTTTACCGAAAATTCTTTCGGTGTCGCTGAGTTCATGATCTCGCTGGTCCTCAAATCTTGGCTTTTGCACCAGCACTCTTGTTGCAACTAGTAGCTTTAGCAACTAATAATCAATGTATTTTTTGCGTTACATATTATGTTGATCCAATTTTGTTTATCTCCAGCAAAAGAACCCTAAAGCTCATAGTGAGGGGTGACCCAGTTGGAAAATTATGTAGGAAATAAACTTGATTTTGGTTTAGGGTATTTTGGGTATTATATTCATATATAAGGGATATTGTGGGAAAATTATGTTAAGGGGCAATTTTGAAATGATGTACTAAGAATTTTGTAGAGTTTCAAAGTCACAATTCCAAAATTGAGATAGAGGAGTCCAAAGCATGCAATGCATGTAAGTTTGAATTTAGAATGTGAGAAGTCCAAATTTTTCTTGTAAATTCGTCTAGGGTGTATTTTAAGAGCTTGAAAATTTCACTACAAAAATGTCAAAATAGTCTAGAAAGGTCCTAAGAGGTCTATATATCCCTATACTATGTATTTGTACTTAAGAAGAGTAAAGAAATTGTGTTGATTTGATCTCCTTTGTATGCATAAGTACAAATTCACAAATAAGCCTTCTCCCTCCCTTCTTCAAGGTTAACTCGTCCCATTTCAAACTACTCTAAGATTACAATTTAAATATGTGGGAGAGAGAGGTACACAAGAAGTATTTTCTGGTTGAAGCCCTTCTCCCGAGGGATTGCTGGACTTGCCTTTTTTATCTACAGGGTGGCCACGCAAATTTATCCAATTTTTTTCCCATACTTGCTAATCAATATTATTTCTAGGGAATAAGGAAACTATTTATTGTGCATATTATCAGTTACAGGAAATAGCGAGATGACAATGAAACAAACGAGTTATTTTCAAGGCGTTCACAAACAAATAACTATTAGTATATGGGCTTGAAGCCTGGGTGTTAAAGGCAACGAGCTACAATGTGATGTCTTAGGTTCCATTTCTACCTATGCTATAACCATTGACATGTCTAGAATGATTTTGGGCATTTTGAGGAAAGTCTTTTCACCAATATCACGAAGAAAAAAAATAAGTGACCAAAACATGTAGGAACATAAGTTTTTCAACATAATCATAAAATAAGAAAAAAAAAAAAGGCTTTTTCTGAATCCCAGCAATTTCTGGTATTTGCAGATAATCATAAATGACTCTCTGTTTGAAACATGAAATACTTCATGCCAAACTAGGGAGACTCTTTGGAACTAAAATTAAGATATCATCAGAAGTGAATGTGAGCATGTATGGAGAGACTTTTACTTAATTCTCATTGGATTAAGCCTCCGATATTACACCCATATATTCTTGAATTGAATGGTGTTTCCAAATGTAAGCATCGACATAGTCATAAGCATTTTATCGGCATGTCTTCAATTACGTCTTCTCTGCAACGAAATTTACCACCGCAGTAAATAGATTAGCCTAAATGTTTTATAAATTGCAGCAACATTGAAAAGTTTATCTTAAGACCACCTAATAGTGCCATGATATTAACCTTGGATAAGGCACTTTTATGTTTAGATGTCTCACAATATCACATGTTGGAGAACATGGAAGTTTCCCAATGTAATTTTTCAATTCCAGTGCCAATTTTTTAATTATGAAATAATAAATAATTGCTTGACATAGTTCCATGGTACAATGCAAGGTCCAAGAGACCTTATACACCAAAAAAAATTAACAAGATTCTCAATTCTAGATAAAATGTTATCAATCAACTTATTTGTTGTAAATTATTTCTTCCCATTTCTGAAGCAACAAATCTATATTAAAGGGGTCATTTCTTAAGAAAATACAAAGAGAAGTTTTTTAATAATGGCAACTCTAGGAATATGATGTGGTTAGTTAGGGGATGGTGCTGGGGCTTGAACTTCAATGGACTCTGAAGAAGAATATCCAACATAGACAATTATAGGGCTCCTGACACTGTGAACACCATCACTCCACACTAGCGATGCCGAAACCGCTGTTCCCATTGATCCTTCAACTTTCACAGTGAAAGATTTCTTCTCCCCTATTGATTTGAATGAAAGTTGGGTTGGTTCCACAGTGACTGTAAATGCTGATGCGGAATTTACGAATGCGTTATACACTGATGGTGGCACGCCGACATTTGTAACTGTTCTTGAGAAAGTGGCTGAGAAAGACACCCCACTGCTGACTTTGTATGCAAATGAAGGATAGTTTAGATCCAAAACTGTACCATTGGCAACATTTGAGCAGGTGCTATTATCTCCAGTCACAAGCCTGAGTGTCCTTGTATTATATCCCTGGTTACACAACATTCCTACATAATCAACTTCGCCGGCATCATAAACTAAGCCAGGATTGACTGCTTTTATTGGATCAATATGGCCTGAACCATAGGCGAACTCGGCATCTTCATTCTTTGTAGGACTCATGGGAGTTGCTGCAAGAAATTCCTATGTAAGTGATGCACCCGAAGATGAAATACAAATTGAAATCCCATCAAAATTGAAACTTAAACATTCTTATGCATAATAGACTCTTACTGTGGTTGACCTCCAAGTAATTCATTGAACTACGTAATAAAACTATAATTGTAAAAGTGAAGAAATCATCAGAGCCATTACCTGTAGTCATGAGTGCAGACTTGATGGCGGCAGGAGACCATGTTGGGTTGAAGGATTTCACATAAGCAGCCGCACCACTCACATGAGGACACGACATGGATGTGCCAGAGATTATGTTGTACTTCACTGATCTTTTGTCCCCTTCAAATACTGACATGGAAGCAACAGGTGACCATGCAGCTAAAATATCAACTCCAGGAGCAGTCAAGTCCGGCTACACCACAAATGTAACTATGTCATCAGTGGCCTTAAATACATCTAGACAAGGAAAAGAGACAGAGAAAGAAAATACTCTACTGTTAATTATGAGAAATCATTTGATATCCTTTGATAAGTCATTCTTCTTGCAGGTTTTACATTAGGAAAATGGGATTAGGATGGAGCAGGTGATATACCTTGAGAATGTCTGGTGTAATGAGGTTTGGTCCTCTTGAAGAGAATGATACCACTGTGGGAGCTTCAGAATCCTTTATGCTCTCACTCTTTAGTATGTTCACCTTTGAATTGCTGTCGAAAATCAATTAATATTAGTTAAACATCGATTAGTGTCAGCTCAATCATAATCATATAGACAAGGCAAAAAAAACAGGAATGATGGATCAACTCTAAGCACACATCAATAGTTAGCAAGCAAACTAAATGATTTTCATGGGAGTAAAAGTAAAATTAAGGTACAAAAAAATTGAAATAAGATTTTATCCTGGAGTGTACCTGGTCGAGTTCTTCAAGTAGTTGTAAACCTTCGAACCATCAGTGGTATTTAGAAGGGATGCCGGCAAAGGATACGAGAAGGCCAAGTCATTGTACCCATCATATCTCATGATCATACCCCGTGCATTAGCATCCAATGCTCCTTCTCCTTTGTTAATAATATCGCATAATACAATCTTTCCCTTCACTACTCCTCTGTCCAAAGTATTGGGTGAACAATACCTGATGATCAATGCACATAAATGAGATTTAAAGTTTAGATTATCGGTCTATTTATTTACAAATTTGCTTATGGGATCATCAGTATGTTTATAGGGATTGTTTACAAAGAGATCATTTAACTTTTGTACAAGGAGATCACAACTATTCCCACTTATTAGATGTCAAATTGGATGGCTTGGGCTTCGTCACGAAATCCGAGAATTTTATTTTTGGAACTTTGTATCTAATCAATGACACTCTTACCACCACTCATTTTAAAATCTAAAGGACAAGAATAATTGTGACCTCATTGTACAAAAGGTAAATGGTCTCTTTGTATACAGTCCCATATTTATATGTGCCATGGTTTCTTGTCATCCATTAAGAATGTTGTTTATAATCCAGTGCATTATATTTTGTTTGTCTGGACAACTAACAAATCCTTTATAAGCCTCCCATTTTTTGAGCATATATGTCATGATCCTGAAACACCCTATACATCTACTCCCTCAGGCAGAAGAATATGAAATTATGAAAGTCATTCTAGAATTACCAGATGAGTATTTTCAAAAAATATTAAAAAATAGATTTTGAGATCCTCAGCAATTCCATTAGAGCATCCACAAAAAAATTTCATGCTCATAATCATTCTTAAGATGTTAGCCTTTTCTTTTCTTTTCTTTACTTTTTCCTTTTTTTTTTTTTTATTATTTATTTATTTTTTTTTTTTATTTTCTTTTTATTTATTTATTTATTTATTTTATTTTTTTTATTTTAAGGTTGGTAGCTAGGGTATATGATTCTTTTTCTTTTTATTAAACTTTTTTTTTAAGCTTGGCAACTAGGGTATTTGATTTGTTTTTGTTTTTTTGAGGCTGCTTCTTGTATTTTTATTTTTTTCTTTTTCCTTGAGATTGGCCTGTTTTTTCCCATATGTTACAGCCCTACAACGGACTCCTTTTTATTTTTTTGGTTTGTATGGCAGTCCGTTGTGTTGGACGTATAGGGGTTCTAATCATCAGACAACCCCATCGATGTTTGAAACATTAAACCACTTGGCTTAGGAAAATTTAAGCAAACTTAGAGGTATGATGTTCCAGACATTGGACTACTCACCAAAAAAGAGGCCCGATTTACAAAAATCAGATATCTTGCTAATCTATGTCACAAATATCAGGCTGCTCAAAAGTTTAAAAAATTTGGAAGTCTGGAATGTTCTGATATTAGCGATACCAGAAAATACCAAAGTGAAGTTTAAGACAATCCCATATTCCTAACATTAGTCCGACTCCTAATATACCTCCAAGCCATCGCACAGCCTAACAAACCAAAAAAATAAAGGAGATCTAGTGTTAAAAACACTGGACCAGAAGGCAAATTTCAAAAAATAAAAAATTGGGAGAGAGTAGAACATCTGTGTAAAATATATAAAAAATTGAACCATACAATAATACCGCAAAAATACTACAGCATAAGTGTAATTTTTAATTAATTAATTTTGTGGGTTTTGTTTATTGGTCTCACATTGATTCTAGGGAAGAATAGCCTGCTGAAGTATTTGGAGCATCTCCTCCATATATAAGAGGGAAGGTAGTCCCTTTAAGCTGGAAAGTGTTCACCGCTCTTCCCTACAGAACCAATAATCAATAATAGGTTAGCAAAATGTGCGACTGCTTAGAAAAAGAAAAAAAAAAAACCAGTTTTTTACTTTCTTGCTTTTAGGTAATTCAATGGGGAAGACAGACTTCTACCCGGTTTTTCAAATAATTTAGAAATTAGGTTTCAGGCTTCTATCCACTTTTTCAAATAATTTAGAAGTTAGGTTTTTTTAAGGTGTTAGTGATGTGATATCAATGGGAATTGAAACCACTACATGGTAATTAAGGTGCAGGGGTGCTACCACTACAGCACCATCCCCTTTCTCAGTCTAATTTCTTTTAATTGCACTCATGCACTCCAACTTATATGTGAATATAAAACAATAATCCATACGTATACTTGCTTCTTAAAAATTAATGAGAGAACATGAATTCAGAGAACACATGAAGTATCATTTGGAGAAATGTTACATGTCATAATTTCATGAAGAAAATATGTAGATCATTAGTTTTAACTTTTAACTGTTTTTAGAGGGACTACTTCAACATACAATTCTTAAGACTCATATAAAGCTTCTCCTATATCTTTGCATTCTTATTTGGGTGAATCAATGGGAATGTCAGGCCCTATCTTTTTTATTAAAAGAAATAAGAATATGACCTTGTTATGTATGTCGTGGTGGCAATGGGTCGGGTTAAGTCCAGCGGGACATGGATCCAGACCCGAACTCAAATAGTATTTAGGTCAAGGTTTTGGATCCGGACCCAACCTTTCAGGTCTAAAATTTGAACCCATACTCAGACCCAAGATCAGGTCTACCTGTCAAGTCCCAAGTCTAGTCGGGTCCATTGCCACCTCTACATGTATCACTGATAATTAAATAAAAGAAAAAGTCACATGAGAGAGTGAATGTGTCGTAGAGACATGTTAGAGAGAGAGAGAGAGAGAGAGAGGGCACCATACCACAAGAATTTCGCCATCCCCTAAAGCCACCTTGTTTATAATCTTCCTATCCGTACTGCTCGCGGCCACAGTCAAAGTCCATGGAGCCACATTAGTCACTGACCCGGCATACGGCCCGTCATTCCCAGCCGAAATCGAAGTCAAAATCCCACCCTTCATAGCATGAAATGACCCAATTGCTAAACTATCCATGAAATAATCCAACGGTATGGAGTGCCCGATCGAGATGGAGATGACATCCACACCATCCGCTATGGCATCATCAAAGGCAGCAAGCATATCAGCATCTGAGCAACCGTCGCTCCAGCACACTTTGTAAACTGCAATTCGAGCTGAGGGGACAGCGCCTCGGGCGCTGCCGAGTGCAAGGCCAAAGAGGCTAGTGTCCGACACGACACGGCCGGCAGCCGTGGAGGCAGTGTGGGTGCCATGTCCTATGGTGTCTCGAGGGGATGGATCGTCAAGGATCGGGTCGAATTGTTTGTCAGCTTTGTAAAAGCGAGCTCCAATTAGCTTTCTGTTTTGTTAGGAGAGCGGTGTGTCATGAGAGAGATGAAAAAAAAAAACCAGACAAATAAAGACATAAACTCTACACACAATGGGACGATCACTCATGAGAGATCATCATCATTATCATTATCATCCAAACCTTATCCCGACTAAGAATTGCTTGGTAATAAAGCTGCTCTTGTCCCTCCACCCATCTAGGAGTAAAAGGACATACCACCTTGGCCGGCTCCACTATTCTAAGGTGAGAGGAACCCTTCTCAAAGAAATGCTTCAAACGAGTATTTAAAAAGGGAAAATATCTCCCTACACTTTTTTTTTAAGTTTCATTTTTCTACATACCCAAGGTTAGGTTTCAAAACATATCTAGTGGCATAGAGATCCCAAGTAAAAAAAACATCTTTTTGAACTTTTGTTTGAGCTAAAAAGATAAGGCAAAGAAGGTAAAGTTGGTCAAGAAAGTTAAAAGATATGATACGTGGGATTTCTATGCCCCCAAAGATATTTTGAACTTGGATTTGTTGATAAATGAAACCTAAAAATAAGATATACATATATTTTCCTTTTAAAAAATTAGTGATCCGGATTGATAATCGGTCTATACTGTCTTGGCTCCTTGTTGTTCAAAGGAAACCTTCTGAACATTGAAAACCATGTCGTGGCTTGATAAAGTAAGATTTGGATGCACTAATGTTTAAAATCAAGAATTCAGGTAAGGTGGCGTTTGGGTCCAAAGCTTGAGTCAGGTCTAATAGGCATGGCTGAGTCTCTTAGATACCAGCTTGAGTTTTAACAGAAAAAAATAAAATATTAGGAACATGCCAACTAGGTTCTTATATATTTAGTTCTCGACCAATCTATATAACTCAGGCGAGTTTGAGCCAGACCTATCTAATTTATGCTTATTCATTTTGGACGGCTGACAGTATGCCTAATACAACAACAGGACCATTGGGTTAGTGGCTTGCAGAAGGCAAGAGCTGGAGGTTCGAAGTTTTAATCTTTTTTTAAGTATCGCATTGTACTTTGTTTCGAGAACCATTGCAATTTTTGTTTGTACGAACTCTGTAGGCTTAACTACACTTTACGTGGTTAATTACATAAATGTTTTGCTGGTCTATGGTTTGAATTTTCTTAATCTTTTATTGTTTTGTTTAAGGACCCAGTTTTTATCCGGCCAAGCCCGTAGAAATGCGGACCTCTTAATAAATCTATTTTTTATATCGATTTTAAGACTTAAGTTTTAAGAACATGTAATCTCTAACATGGAGATAATGAATATGAAAAATATGAATAAATAAATAAATTTTAAAAACTAAAAATAATACTTCCAATAAGAAAAAACATTTGGATTGTTAGTTTCCATTGTTTTTAAATGGAACACCTACTTGCATTCATTTTTAAAATGGACATATGTAGAAATGCGGTCCAACCTACATGAAACAATTTTCATTTGTTTAATTTATTGGGTCACATTGCAAATGTCTAGATTAACACATTTGAACCAACGCATCTCCATCCACCTCTTAGTTCTTCAAAGTTTGAAAAAGTTACGAACGGGTCTTGCATGGTTTATGTTTTGGATCCTATTATCTTGAGTTCCTATTTTGTCGAATATTTTTTATTCTACTGTCAATATGAAATCCCAACTTTTTAACCATTAATTTAAACTTCCAATTTTTAAATCACAAAAACACAAAAAAAAAAGAAAAAAGAAAAGGATATGTTTGAGAGTTTTAGAAAAATTCAATTTTCGAACCACTTAAAACATACAAAGAAAAAATAATAATAATTAAGAGTTATATTGTTTGGGAGTCCTAATCGGCCCAATAAATTCTTTTTGTGTTTTTGGTAGTTTTAAAGTTAGAATTTCGAACGGTCCAAAAACATGAGCAATACTTTGAACCACCTAAATACAACAATTTTTTTGTGATTGGGCAATTCATATGTTAAACTCCAAAAACATGAGCAATACTTTGAACCACCTAAATACAACAATTTTCTTGTGATTGGGCAATTCATATGTTAAACTTTCTATTTGGTGATAAAAATACAAAATATAAATAACTAGACTTAAAAGGTAAAATATGACCCAAAATACAGAGGATGCCATAATACCTTTCTTTTGTTTGGATCCAAAATAAAGATAAAGCTCTAGCACACAAGGCGGAAATGATAAATGACAGATGTATGAATGGGCTCAAGGCTAAGTAGACAAAATAGTAAAATGACACAATATGACATCTTAAGTTTGATTTTTATGGCAAGTAATGCAACAAAGTATATAATTTACTTTAGCGATATAAAATTAAATTCACATCCACATGAGAGAGAGAGGCGTACTTGTTGCAAGTGAAATTGGCAGAAGATTGGCAAGTCCCCTTCCATTTACTCGGAGGTGGCCCAAAGCCTTCATCACTGAAGCTCGCAGATTCCGGCCAAATGCCGGTATCAATCACCCCCACCACCACATCACTCTCCCACTTTAGGCTTCTATTAACTGTCTCGGTGAAACCCATAAAATCCCATGATCTCGTCGTATGGAGTTGCTTCTTCTGACTTGGAAAGATAGAAACCACACCTTCCATACCTATAATAAAACCAGGTGTTTTTCATGCATGAATTAACATAAAGAGAAAGCAAGAAGAGAGAGAGAGAGAGAGAGTTTTTACTTTCAAGTTTCTCAATCTCTTGTTGGGTTAGCTTCGCTGCAAATCCATTGAAACTTCTCCTGTAACTGTATACTAAGGATTCTGTTGCTGAGCTGGTAAAACCATAGCATGGGTTTCATGTTAGGGAGGTGGTGCATAAAATGAGAGCTATGATAATGGCCTAATTTTTATCAGATTTTTTTATTCAAAATGGGAGCTCAAATTCTGACCTGCCACTCAGGACTTGTTGAAGGATGCCAAGGTGGAGAGATGCAGCCGAGAAATCCTCTTGAAGACGTTGGCCCAGGTATACAATGTGAACCTGCATCATTGTTACACAGCACAACGCACCATCATCATCTGTCTCTCTACCACACGTGTATGCATCTCTCTTGGACCGACAAGCCTTAAAAAAATATCTTATCGCATGTAATTCTTTGCTTGATTTAAAATGTGATGGACAAGAGTTACTGTAACCTCTGTACTAAAAGTAAATATTTTTTAAATTTAAAAGCTTTCTTTTATGTAAAAAATCTAAAGAAAAAGTGTTATATGCATTGGGACACATTCCTACATTTGTTGCGCCCCCGGCATGAACCATCCATTCAAAGATGGATATAATGATGGTCCTTAGAAAAAAAGTAAAATCAACCGTTTAAATATTTCCTTCTAAAAATGTTAATTTTAGTTTCTATCTTTTTTTTGGTTTTTTTACTCATGAATGATCTCCATGTTCGGAATTACATATTCCTTAAAATTAGGGTCAAAATATATTTTAAAAATAGATTATTAGAGGGGCCACATTTCTACATATGAGTTCGGAAAATCATAAAAACCATGTCCATATGAAAACATAAGAGAAGGTTGAATTCAAATTCTTGAAATTTGTTACACACCCTGAGCCATCAAATTTAACATTTAATAGCTAAGAGTGATTGTGACCTCTTTATAATAATGGTTAATGGTCTCATAGTATTCAATCATATTAATTTTTGAGAAAATTAGAAAAAATCTCCAAGACCATTCTTTTTATGCAACTTACTCCCAATCTATGTTTTTCTCTCACTTTTTTCTAAAAAATACACTTTCTATGCAAATACCCCTAAGGGAAAAAGTTAAATTTTTTTAGATGGAAATGCCCTTCCCGTAAACAAAAATCAATTTGGTCAGATTTGACCTTGACTTTCAGAACTCATTGTCGGAGCGAATCACCGCAGTGCCGGAGCACATGATCCATTGTCGGAGAGCACATACACAGTATTAGAGCGTTGTGACTCCAGATTACACTGCCGGAGAGCACTTACACAGTGCCAGAGCACACATAGATAGTGCCGGAGCACTGTGACTCCAAAGTATTGCACTGCCGGAGCGTACTTAATTTTTTGGGTTTTTTTTTAACTTTTCCTTTAATTTTTCTCCTTTCGCATCAATAAGAGATTTGACTTAAAACATTTACTTTGCCTTTAAAAACCCTCTTCTTTTTCCCCATGCAATAAAAAAACAATCCAAATTACTGATAGAACAAAGGAAAATTGCCTGTCTATCCGCATCAGAAGCCTCAGAACAAGTGTTGAGCAAGACCAGGGTGATGAAGAGGGTGAGAAGCCATGATGGTACGTGTTGCATGCCCATTTCTTGAGGTTTGGGCTCCTTCTTTGCTTCATTGTTCACCTCGAAGCCAATTTATATAAGAAACTGTTTTGCATTCTGGTTTCTGATTTTTATATTAATATTCCCCTTGCTCTTTGCTTGCCTGGAATGTTGATGTATACAACTTCATAAACACCTCTAAAGAGAGAGAGAGAGAGGAGAGAGGGAAGTGTGACACCTCTAACAAAAGAGAGAGAGAGAGAGAGGTGGAGCCGGCTTTTGCCTCGTAGCAACCACCCAGCAATGAAACAAACTTTAACTTGTTCCTAGACGTACAACATTGTAAATGCTTTCGATATGAAACAAACTTTAATTTGTTCCTAGAAGTACAACATTGTAAATGCTTTGGTTATGGAGCCGGCATTCCACATTGCCATCGAACATGTTGTTATCAGATATATACAAAGGGCTGAGCAATGGTGACAACGGGATGAGAAAGCGTCATGATAAAGGATTTTATTTTTGGGTGCGGTTTGTATAGTGCCGAGGCTTTAAACCATTAAATTAGGGCGCACCTTCAAATACTATGGAGAAATATGGTTTTAATATTTAAAATTTTTGTTATAGCTTTAAAATATATTTTTTCTTTAATTATAAAATTCAACGCTTCAAAATAGTGTAGATCAAGCAAATCTATAAAAACCTAAAAATTTTAAAAATTGACCGTCCAAAAATATGTTCCAAGAAGTACTATTTTCAAAACTTGACATCCATTTTTTTCTCATATCCATGCATCTTGATGTCGAGATGACCAATTTTAGGATATTTGAGCATGAAAACAATTTTTTTCTGTGAAATTTTTGAGACGGGCTCTAATTTGATTGTTTGGAGCCTCGGCTCTATATAAACTTTTTCTTTCATTTTTTATTTAGAGGTTCTTCTTGTAATGACTATAGTACCTCTGGGGTGGAGAATCTCTAAGCAATGATAATAATTCTATAAATAAGTCTTTTTATTTTGGATTTTTTAATGATACATCTTAGACTGCCTGATTTTACATTGAACGATTAATAATGATTGTAATTTTCTTATACCGAAAATAAGAGATTGTCTATAAGAGACAATTTTTTTTTTGTACATGGAAGTAACAATCATTTTCACTCATTAAATATCAAATTGGATGGCTTAAGGTGAGTTACAAAGTCCGAAAAAAAAAAAATTTGGAACTTTGTATCTATTTAATGACACCCTTACAAACATCAATTTTGAAATTTAAAGGACAAGAATGATTGTGATATCTATGTACAAAAGATAAAATAAAAAGTTTATATAAAGCCGAGGCTCTAAACAATCAAATTAGAGCCCACCTCAAAATTTTTACTAGAAGAGATTGTTTTGATGCCCAAATATCTTCAAATTGATTATCTTGACATCAAAGATGCTTAGGCATGAGAAAAAAAATGGATTTCAAGTTTTGGAAATAATGCATCTTATAACGCATTATTGGATCATGAATTTTCAAGATTTTCAAGTTTTCATAGATCTGCTCGATCTACACTATTTTTGAAGCATTAAATTTTTATATTAAGATAATATATGTTAAGGCTATCACAAAGATTTTCAGTATTGAAACCACATTTTTCAACACTATTTAAAGGCATGCTTTATTTTGATTGTTTAGAGCCTCGGCTCTATACAAACTGCACCAAAGATAAATGGTCTCTTTTTAGACTATTCCCAAAAACAAATAGTTTTATTGTACACATTTCCATATAAAATAAGTTACACACAAAAACACACATATACATATATACACACACTACGTCATATCGGATTGCTGTCCCGATCTAGTTAGGTCTAGGCTGGACCCAGACTTTGACCTTGTTGGGTCTAGATCGAGTGGAACAGACCCAACCAGCTGGGTTCAACAGGCGAGTCCAATCCCAAAGTAGGTTGGATTGACCTAACCTGTTTACCACCCTAGAGAGAAAGAAAGAGAGATTAACACTGGGAACGTAGAGTGGGAGTCTGTGTTAATGCATCAGCGCCCCAAACCACCGATGCCCCAACCCTATTCTCATTCCCAATGAGAATTGCCCCGGACCCGGACATAACCTGAGAAAATGATATGGGACCTAGATCTAGACTCAAAAATGAATTGTGGGACCCGGATCACCTAATTAGACCCGACCCAAAAAATTTCATATCTATGTATTTAAATATATTTCATATATTGGTACCCGAAAATTCGACCCGCTGGGTGTTCGTCAAAATCCGACCCGTTGGGTCAATTTTTTGAGCCATACCAGGACCAAATCGGGTCTACACCTTGGGTCCCGGGTCTATTTCCACCCTTAAATTTGTAGGGTATGTGGCGACAGGGACATCTGCATCCGATGAATGTAATATCTACCCTTTGCTAAATGCACCATTAGCTATATGGACGATGGAGGTTAATCTATTTTTGCCAAAGTTTCTATTGGAGTCCGTCTGGTTGTTGCACCTTATATAATATTGAGCTAGTATGGTTAAACCTTATAGAGTATTGAGCTAGTACATTTAGGCTTATATGGTATTGAGCGAGTACGTTTAGGCTTTCGGTAATGATTTCATGCAACTGTCATTTCATTGCACAGGACCACATGTCAAAACATTTCTAAAAAAAGCAAATTTAGTGAAATGTCAGCCATACCAAAAGATTCTATACTCCTACAGAATTATACTGTCGATTTACTCCCTAAAGTAAAACCCCATCTACAAGTACTTTTAGGACGACTTTGGGGATGTAACATCTTCAACCCGTCAATAGAAATTTTTTCGAACTTGCACTTTCTATGTGCTAAAAAAAAACTAATGCCTCAAAATTCAATAGAGACTGTCAATCCAATTTTTCTTTTTTTCTTTTGAAAATTTACTCATGATTATTAGATGGTTCTCCAAGGAAATTTCCCAAACATTTTACCAAAGGGAATAAATGGATAGCAATGCTCCTACGGCAGCATAGCAAACGTGCCTTCGACCATTTTGGGGTGCTCACCTTGTATCCCCTAATAGATGAGGAACCTCCACTCTACACCCCTTCTTAGAGTTTTACTTGTCGGCAAGCAAAAGCAACTCTACTCGTGATGTAGAACCATATTTTCGAGTGGCTTTAGACCTGCAAAACCCTATTGGATAAACCCTTTTTTTTTCCTTTAGTTAACGAGAATTCTGCATTACTCTTTTATATTCGAAATTATCTATAAATAGATCATTTATCTTTTACACATGGAGGTCACAATCATTATTGTGCCCTTAAATTTGAGAATGAGTGGTTGGAAGAATGTCACTGAATAGACATAAAGTTTCAAAACAAAATTTCTCCAACCATGACTCTCCTCAAACCATCCAATTTGATATCTAGTGAGTAGGAATGACTTTGTCCTCTATGTATAAAAGATAAATGATCTCTTTGTAAACAACCCCTTTATATTTACAAAAAAATAATAGTTAATATGTTTTAAGAGAAGGCCAATAATCATTCCGATATTCATTTACAATGTTCAAATATGACTCGTCAGTGCTTAAAAGATTGATAGTTGGCTGATAAAAAACATGGAAAAATGTCTCTTCACATAAAAGGAAGCCAAAACCATGCAAAATACATTTGCAAAGTTCACTGCTACAGCCTTGTAGGTTAACCATCCTCTTTCAAAGATCCTCTCATAATATAATTTAATATGTGTGTGTATGAGAGAGAGAGAGAGAGAGAGAGAGAGAGAGA